ACCATATAAGGCAGGCGCCTTTCGAAATCCTTGAAAATGCGGCCAGATCCCCCTGGCGAGTTGCAAGCTGCAAGTGAAAGTTGATAGTTGATAGTGAAACCTCGGCTAACTGAGGTCGGACTGAGGTCGTACTTAGGTCGCGCGCAGTTTCACGATCAACTACCAACTACCAACTTGCTAATCTTATCTAATGGGCGCTTCTCTTTATCTCGCCCCAGATTAATCTCGTTGGCATCTAATCAACCTGCCCCAGACTCGGACTTCTGACACCCCTCCCTAGGTTTTACCTTCCTCCACTGCAAAAGCAATATCTCAGCAACCATAGGTCCTGTTGGCTTCATTCTTTTTGTGGGTACTTACCTGAGGCAATTGGATTATGTTTGTACAAACACTGTGATTGATAGATAATAAACTTTCGGTTATGTGGGGTTTTTTATTGACTTTGGAAAGCAACAAGTACTATCACGGACCCGGAGTTTGGACAGAACCCAGAGTTCGGACATTCCGACATTAGCCTCCCTTCCTGACCTCCGATAATTTTGCAAACTGGCACATTTATATATCTGCATCTGCTCTACTATGCCCAAAAAGTTCGAAGGATTTGGACATGGTAGAGGGTCTGATCTTTGAAGTACAATGTTGCGAGGTCAGGTTTTTCTGTGTGCACACCTCGACGCTCTTCCGCATGATCCCGGCACTGCCTATGAAATTTACTGAGGGTGTACAATATGAGTAACTATGTCTTATGCACATTTCTCCGATGATGTCCGGTTTGTGTAAGGACGGGGAGTTGAGTAGTTTAGTGGGAGGAGGTACAAAGTGTGACATCCGTGCTCCGGCTACTGTCCATGTTGTAACTCCCATCTACGTGATGCTAAGTATGTGAAGGCTTTGGAGAGCAGGGTGTTATCAAGCTGTACATCGGAGTTTCAAACCGGCAACGGTCGGCGCAGTGACATTGCATTACTGAGCCGCATGTAAAGCTAGTAGGAGTCGCCTAGAATCACAAGAGCTGCACAAACAACCACGCAAGCGATTGTCCGTATGTGAGAGCGAGGGAGAACAAAGGCAAAACACGAGAGAGTCGTCGAGGGGCGAAGTCGGGGGCGAGCGCACATGGGTGCGAAGTGAACACGAGGGTCGAAGTCGAGAGGCGAGAGGCGAGAGGCGAGAGGCGAGAGGCGAGAGGCGAGAGGCGAGAGGCGAGAGGCGAGAGGCGAGAGGAGCACTCGAAAATGAAAGGGAAACCGAAAACTGAATAATAGAGGCATAAAGCCCGCGTATAAGTACATGAGGGGTGCAGGCCAGAGTGAGTCCGTACGTCGAGACAGGAGGCATCGGCGTCGAGAGCCGCGAGCAGATGTAAAGTACAAAGGGGCGGGATGGCGCGCGACACAATCACGTGGAGCGCGGGCGCCACAAGAAACTACTGAATGTGTCGATCCCGCGCGTCGAATGTGTTGGAATCACGATGCGCTGCGATTCCGCACACGCGGGATGACAAAGCTGAGGGAAATGAACAGGATACAAATATCAGAAGCGAGTTGGGACTGCCGGAACAGGCATGAAACACGCGGACCGCTGACTGAGCCCGCAAACGCAGCGGCCTCGGACTCGCGAATGAGTCGTCGGACCGCGCAGCACCGCAGGCTGCGCATCATTGGGGGACATGGGACAAAGATATTTGTTGGGCAATGCGGGGACCCAAAACAGTGTCTGAACTCCGGGTCCATGATAGTATAACCTGTGTATGTGTAACCTTCATTAGGGTCCGTCAAAGTTGACGCTGCGACTTTTGCTGCCGCTGCCGCTGCATCACGTCTGCTGTGAGTGACATTACGTAATGCCCCCGGTCCGGTATGAGCAGTGCTCGCGTGGCTGGTGAGTACTGTGCCCCCTCCCCACTGTCGCACAGCTGCTAACGCGTGTTTCAGGATGAGCTTGTGCATCTGACCGAGTGCCCCACCACTGTCTGCCGCCTTGCGGACACCCTCTACTGCCACTTCGTGGACTTCACGGCGGGAATGGGCGACCTGCCCACTGAGCACACCCCTGACTCTCCGTGGATCCACCAGCAGTAGTGTTGCGGGGTCCAGTCCGAGGACCGCAGGGGGACCGCAGGGGGACCGCAGACAGGACCGGAACCGGACTGATGAGGACCGGACTGGCAGGCGGTCCTTACAGGTCCTGTCCTTGGTCCCGGTCCTAGGTCCTCTATTCCTTCGCATTTTTGCGGACCACTTTGAACCGCTCGGAACCGGTCCTGGACTGATCGAATAGGACCAGTTTGGACCGGTCCCTGCACTCAGAGAACACAGCAATCAGTCAGCCGCCGAAGCCGCGCCACAACTGTACAGCTGGGTCCCACGGCTGTGCAGCTCTACCTGGTAGACGCATTTTGCACATTTCGGGAAAGTCTCACACCCAGGACTGGAAACGCGCAAGCTTCGATTCATTCGCACATCAACACTCTATCTATGGCAATGGGGACCCGCAGCGGCGTGAAGAACAAGGACGGCCCCGTTGCATCCAAAAGGAAGCAATCAGAAGTCGCCATTTTGAGCAGTGACGAGCTCGTAGTGGCGCCGAAGAAGCGTTCAAAAGCTGCCGAAGGAAAGCGCTCGGCTCGTAAGAAGGCCGCAGTCGCTGCCGAGGTGGTCGTAGTCGATGGAGGAAGCAGTGCGGATGACGGCGGAGCAGGCAATGAGCCGGAGGTGATTTCTGGAGATGAAGAAGAAGTTGTCGATGGCGAGGAGGGCGATGATGACGCTGCCGAGGGGGATCAGTCGGGGGCAGACAACGAGGTATGCATCAACAGTCCTATCTTGTACACATCAGCATTCACCGAGCTTTCAGGACGATACTGAGCTCGACATACCGGATAAGATCACTCAGAAAGTCGATCAAACCGCAGATCTCCTGATGATCTTCTCCGGGAAGGTGGATGTGCGCTTTAGGCCGAAGAAAGGCGAGGTCAAGGTGGTCCGGGGACGTTGGTGTTTGATATGCAAGTCAGTACTCACCAATCTGAACGTTTCTGAGAAGGTCAATAACCGTGTTGCTTGCTAGGGACGACCTGAAGAAGAAGGCTGCCCAAGGGGGCTGTGCGGGATGGTACAGCGGTGGGAACTCGACGTGCCAGCGCCACATTGCGTCGTCCCACTATCCAGAGTATCATAAGAGATGTAAAGCAGCTGACGTTAAGGAGTCGAAGGCGGCGACGCCGAAGAGTGTCTTGGAGGCGTGTGCAGCGGCGGCAGAGAGCAAGAGGACTGTGAGCAAGCAGGGTACTCTTGATGGTGTGGTGCAGAAAGTGGAGACGCCCACTGCGTTCTCGCGCGTGGGCATAGCAGACGCCGTCACCAAACACGTCGTCTGCGGCGCCCAGGTTCGTTTCTTCTGACACATTCGCCCTCAGTGAACTCATTTGCTATCCTATTCAAAGGCTCTACTCCTCGCAGATGAACCCACTTTCACAAATTGCCTTGTCGTCATGCGGCCAAAAACGACGAAAGAAGACTTGCCATCGCGTACGACCGTGCGCACGCGCATTCAAAACAACTTCGTCGACCTCTTGAAGGCTCTCGAGGCGGCAATCGAGGCTGCACCTGGCGATATCTCAACTAACTTCGACCTCTGGATGGAAGAGCACACCAGCATCGCGTTTTTCGGGATGCTGGGACAGTGGATAGACGTCTCAGACGCAGGCGAATGGTCGCTTCACGCCGCCGTCATCGCAATGCACCAGGTGCTGGGAAACCACGGTGGTGCGAACCTTGGCCGGTACTTCATCAAGTTTACCGATCGCATCGGGATCACCTCAAAGGCAGGGGCGAACAAGGTGAGCATCACATCCAACGTACTGCCGCATACACGCCTCACACGTTACTACAGCTGGGGCACGTTACGACGGACAACGCGAGCAATAACACGACCGCCACGGAGCAGATCGCCGCCATCCTGGCCAAGCGCGGTGTGAAGGATTGGGACCCAAAGTCCCATCAGCTCAGGTACGCCCCGGCCGTTCTTGATCAGACTTCTTGATAAGCACACTGATCACTCTGCCGTAGCTGCCTTGCGCATGTAGTACAACTCAGTATCGAGGATTTCATGACCGCTGTCACTCAGGTCGGGCTTGTCGAGAACAAGCAGGCAATTTGGGATTATGATCCGATGCTCGCGGAGAATCGCGCCGTTGTTGGCGGCCTCGACATCATTGCAGTCATTCGGACATTGGCCATCAAGGTTCGTGTTGAGTCTAGTATGTACGCATCTCGCTAACCATCTAGTGCAGATTCAGGCATCCCCGCAGCGCAAGGAAGCATTCTTCCGACTCCAGAAGCAAACAGGCGTCGAAGTGCCGCTCGTTATCCCCCTCCATGGCAACACACGCTGGGGCAGCGCATATGGGATGTGCGAGCACGCCTTCCAGCTGCGTGAGGTAATCTTTTCGGGTTCGACGTGTATACCTGGTTTTGACATGTTAATTTTGCAGGCCATCGACTCCTTCGTCGCTACTGCTGAAGCCAAGTTCGGCCCGATCACCGTCATCCGACAGAACGGCAAGATTCAAAAGAAGATCCCGTGGTCAGTGTTCCACCTCGAAGAGGCCGACTGGCGACGCGTCCAGTTGTGTGTCGATATCCTCGCCGTAAGTGCGACATTTTGGTTCTGTGACTACCTTACTAACCCATCACCAGGATGCGAATAGGTACCATCAGCTGTTCTCCTTCGAGACGCTGCCAACGATCCACCGTGTCATCCCCGCACTCGAATCGCTCTGCACACGATGGGAACGCAAACTCGAGGACCCTCAGTACGAAATCTTCCATCCCGCCCTTCGCCACGGCCTCGACAAGCTGGGCAAGTACTACAATAAGCTCGACAACAGCGCCGCCTACGTCTTGTCTTTAGGTATCACGTTCACACTTGTCGCCCGCTTCTGTCCATGCTGATATATTCCCCCAGTTCTCCACCCTTATTACAAGCTCTCGTACATCGAGCAGAAATGGGGTGGCGCGGAGGAGCAGCAAGCTGAGCTTGACGCGGGTAACGAAGATGCAGTCAACTGGACCGAGTACGCGCGCGAAGTCATCAAAGATAGTGTGAGGCATTTGCGATGCTTTCGCGAGACGTTCACTGACCGCGCGCTTGCAGATGAAGTATTATTGGCCGCTGTGACTTCACCAGAAGGCGGCAGCCCACGCCGAAGAGGACAGAGGCCCCGAACACGATGATGCGGCTGCCGGGGAGTCGGATTCCGAAGACGAGTATGATCGAGAGCGCATGCGTCGTCTTCGCACAGAGGACTCAAACGGCTGGAAGGACGAACTGCGGCGCTACCTCGAGGACCCGGCGTTGGGCATCAAGAAGACGACCGATACAGTGAAATGGTGGAGTGTAAGTCCGAACCGTTGCAATTGTGAATCTATCATATTCTGACCGCCTTAACAGGAGCATGCCAAGATCTATCCAACACTCGCACGGATGGCATTGGACATATTACCTATCCCCGCGTCGTCTGTCGCTGTCGAGCGCCTTTTCTCGCATGCCAAGCAGGTGTCGACCGACAGACGCTCTCGTTTGGGTCCGGACTTGTTCAAGTGGCTCGAATGCTTGAGCCATCACTGGAGACCTCAGATAGTTGACTATGCTAGACTGAACAGCCAGGAGATCGAGGACATAGACCTACTGGAGTATACTGGATTCTACGAGGTGGAAGAGCTCTTGCAAGATGATGAGCTCGATGTTCATGTACTTTAGCATGTTTATCCAGATCCTGTATCCCAATGATATCATATGCACCCTCAGAGCTATCTAATGCTGGCAGTCACTACAGGGAGTCTGAGCTCTTTGCGAAACGATGAGGAGACACTCCCCCGTCTGCCGTGCAATGTGCACAAAAGGCGGCTCGCACGGGCGCCTATTACGCTTCGTCTCTTCGTTCTGCCTCTCACCCACCCCTCGCGCCAGCCCCCGCTTATGCTGCTCTTGCACCGCGCTACCCTATTCATTGCCCACGCCCATAATCCGCCCGCCTTTCTCTGTGCTCTCGTCAACCAACTCAGCTACTGCTGCGCGGCCATTCACGATGGAGCGGTCCACCAGAACTAGTCAGGACGCGGCACTGGATGTTGCGGGTTGGGTCGAATGAGACGGGCTACACGGGTGCATGGTGCGTCATCAGTACCATTGTGAGGCGTTAATGACTTACGAAAGTAGTCCGTACGCCCCAGCACAGGCTCTCTCAGCTGCCCTACCTTTGGCGCCTTCTTTGCTCAGTGGGCCCCCCTTGGCAGTCCTTTCCTTCTTCGTCTATCATGTCCTGCCTCTTCAAACCACCACCACGCGACGTCTGAAACCCTACAACATCCAACTAGTCCACTCAGAGAGGACTGATATCTTGGTAAATATGTACGATCTCCCTCGCATCTCGGTGGGTGTTCTATTGACACATTTGCTAGCATCTTCAACCTCCTCACTGCTCGCTACATTACACCGTCAAGATAAGTCCACATCCATGATGACGTTTGCCTTGGTACGCACATCACACTCCCGTCGACGACCCGCGCCCACGCTCATCGCTCCGGTCGCACTTTCATCGTGCACAGGCGCCTCATGTAGCGTTGGCGGCGGCCCCGCTGTTGGTCATGGCCGTCGCGCTGTGACAACGCTCGTGCAGTGTCCCCTCCGTTGGCTGTGGCCATCGCGCGATGGTGTTCCACGCTCATTTTCGCACGCATACCACACTCCCCTCGGTGTGCAGATATCTGCACTCCGCACACCGGCCTCTCTTTCATCAAATGTACGCATCTCAAGTTGGCTGGCATGCAGTCTCGCACTATTGGCCAAGGTCATTGCGCACGGATGTATCCTTACCCGTATATACAATACTTGTCATCTGTCTGCGCACGCCCTGCACCCCCTCAGCACCGTGTTTCCGCGTTCTGCGGTGTCCCGGGTCCCTATGTAGAGTAATGCCGCTGTCCTACCCCCGCGTTCTGCGCTATCTTGCCCATTGTGTCACATACATGCTACTGCTGTAATACTATAACTGTGAGCACTATTAGCTATGTGCTGGGCATATGAGAGGACTGGTCCTAACCTGTCCAGGGACCGGTCGGGATTGAGCCAGGACCGACAGCGGTCCTGGACCGGTTGCAGTCAGTCTGAGGACCATGGAGGACCGCGGTCTTGGTCCGGTCCTCCCAGCATTGCACTGGTCCTGTCCCGGTCCCGGTCTCCGGTCCTCCAAAATGGGGCTTGAAGACCGGACCGGACCGGACCCCGCAACACTAACCAGCAGTTCGTTAAGGCTTGGGAACGCGTGACGGTCCCTTCATTGGCCATAGGCTCAGTTACCGCACCTGCCGCGGTGTCGCCACCGCAGTTGTTGCCCCAGCGGATCCTCCGCTCGCCCCCCCTGTTGCCACTGCCGTGCACACTGCACCTCTGCCGCCCACCTCCGTGCCAACCCACATCTCTGTGTGTATCTGCGCACGAAGCCCCGCTGCCGCAGACCAAGCGTCCAACAAGTGTCTGCATCAGTCTGCGACTCCTGATTCTGCAGCGCCACCGGCCAAACAACCGTGGTGAGGGAGTCGCCGCCAAACTGCCCACGCAAACACCATCGCTTTGTCCTCACCCAAGACACCGCGCCAACCGCCAAAAGGCAAAGGCAAAGGCAAGGAAAAGGGGAAGGCGAAGACCGTCAAGCCCGAGCATGTACCTTCCAGGTCAGAGTCTGAGGGGGAGGGCCAGCCCATCGTGCCGTCCTCCAAGCGGACGTTGTCATAGAAAGCAGTCCCTGTCGAGAAGAAGGCTGGCAGCCGCCGTTCTAGCAAAAAGGCGGCCACCAGTGAGGCACATGCTCCACGGGCGCACTGCTCTGGCCTCCCTCTCTTCTCACCCCCGGTGTATCCGCGTGGCGCGCAAATCCCGGACACGAAGATGCAATGTGTACGTAGCGCTGCCTTTGCAACTTTGCTCCTTGTCTTCGTGCTGACCTTCTTCGTGCTGACCTTCTTCTTCTTCCTAGTGTACTGGCTGTCGCGGACATGACCCCGATGGCACCCCCATGAAATGCATCATGCGTGAAGGCCTCAACTGTTGTGACCGCTGTTGGTATCAACACCAGTCTTGCAGCTTGGTGAAGGCGGTCAAGGTGGCAGGCGATAGGGCACTAATCCAACATGTGGGGTACGTGGATTGGTACCGGGCCAACAACTTCACCTACGGTACGGCTTCTGCCCGCCACATCCTCTGTTGCCAGTACTGATCTTCTGTCCTTTTAAAACAGCGGCGCCCCCAATTGCCCGCGAAGTCTTCAAAATCTGCCACATTCGCGACACTCCCCACCTGATCCTGACCTGGGTGATCGACCTTCTTACTGAGGAGCTGGGTTTTCCGCCAACTAACCTGCTCCCGCCGCTCCCTTCCAGCGAGTCAGCCACCACCACACCAGAGCCTATCGGTTCCGTGGCTGAGGAGAAGGAGGAGGAGGAGGAGGAGGATGCAGAGGGCAATGCGCCTGTAACGACCCAGGATCGGGTCGTTACGGGCATCGTACATCCACGAGCCCAGCGCCGTACGCGCTGGGCAGAGATAAGATAATGATGTATTCAATAGACGTGTGCGGCGTGCGGGTATTCGGAACCCGCGCGCCTAGTGCGGGCAGCCTTTCTACCTGCCCCACTATCCTACGAGTACGCCAAGCCTCAATAGAGCCCGGACCAGAGTACTTGCAGGAAAGGGGCAACAGATTGCGCCCCCCCATATGTGAGTTTTACAGCGCCTGCCGACTCTGAGTCCTCTGACAATGATTACATCGACAAAGAGCTGGCTCCGTCCGCGGACAACAAGCCCCTGGATGCGGACATGGTGGATGTGTCCTTCAAGGCTCCTATCGCGCAGCCAGCCGCTCATACACCCTCTGTTGCCACTGCTGTTCCCAAGGCTCCCCAAGAGGCTCCTGCGTTGGCCTTGCCACTCCTGGACACCACCAAAATTGCGCCCAATCGTGAAGGGACCCTGTCCCAAAAATATGTCACACCATGACATAGCCAGGCACTGCAGTGACCGCACTGCATTTCTTGCATGTGCAACAGTGCGGGCATCTCTCCACTCGCGACGTGTTGCAGCGCAACACGTTCTCTCCCACAGACAACTGCAGACGACACATTGCGCACCCTCCCCTGTGCACCCTCCCCCACGTACCCTCCCCTGCGTGCCCTCCCCGCCACATGCCCTCCTCGCCGTGCCCTCCTTGCCCGGCACCGTCCATGCGCCCTCGTTGTGCCCTCCCCGCCATGCGCTGTCAGCGCCGCATGCCCTCCCCACCACGCGCCCCCCTTATCGCACCCTCCTTGCTGCGTGCCGTCCGCACTGTGTGCCCTCCTCGCTGTGCCCTCCTTGCCCTCCTTGCCGGGTGCGGTCCTCTGCGTCCTCCGCGTCCTCCACGTCTTCCGCGTCCTCCACGTCTTCCGCATCCGCTGCGTCCTCCGTGTTGCACCTTCTTTGTTGTGCCCTCCTCTGTATCCTCCTCGCGGTGCCCTGTCCTTGCGGCAAAGGGCGATGTTCCGGTTCCGGCAACACCGCGCAAGGAGTGAGGGCCCTGACAATGAGCATGTTCGTGGGCATGTAGACAATGAGCATAGCCGCAGACCTAATGGCAAGCACCCGCTCCCAATGACAGCCGCAGACAAGACCAGAGCAGCTGCTGCTGCAGTGCAGTACTTGTGGTACGCGTGCTTGGTGATACCCATGTGCTGTGAAGTGCGTTGACGAGGAGGCACAGCATCAGGCGCACAAGGCGGGGCACTGCGACACGGGGTATGCGCAGGAGAGGATGCCCGGCGAGGAGGACGCGGAGGGCGGTGGCGGGCAGTGAGGGTGAGGAGGGTGCACGGGGGAGAGAGCGCGTGCGACGAAGAGGGCATTGATTGCCGGGACCTCGCAGCCGTGGTCATCGTCAAAACCTCACAGTTGCAGCCACCGTCGAGACCCGAGCCTTGTAACCGGGACCTCGTGCTCACCACCATGCTCGTCATTGTAGCCTCGCTGTAGTGGTTGTTGGGAGCTGACGGCCGTGGCCGTCGTCGGAATCTCTCGCCATACTAGGGCATAGACAACTGAAAAAAACCGCACGGCGAATCAGCACAAGCCTTCTATGCAAAGTTGTAAGGCAAAACACGATACACAGCAAGCATATACTAATGCAACCCCATGCAGCCCTCTACCCCCAATTGCCACGGCGCTCAAAACATCAGCACATACCAGATCGCTATATGTTGTCCTCAATGTCGTCTTCGTCATCGTCGCCATAGTCTGACATCTCCATAGCAACTTTGACAATGGTGGTGTAGAGCTGAGCGTAGGTTAACCTACAGGTGATTTGGATTTGTGCCTACAGGTATATCACTTTTTGGGACTCTGACCTAGATTCGCAACTGATCCATGCATGGATCAACCCATACCTACAGATTTGAACCTGTAACCCACAAATCTACCTGCAGATTGATCCGCACCTGCAGTTATACCTATAGGTCATACAAAAATGTAGATCATTTGGATCAATACATTGAAAAGGGGTTCAAAAGTGCTTGTGAAATATGATCACAATCATGTACATAGTTGGCACATATAAGATTGACATTGTGTATGCAAGGAAAATGGTTTATTATCTATCAATCACAGTGTTTGTACAAACATAATCCAATTGCCTCAGGTAAGTACCCACAAAAAGAATGAAGCCAACAGGACCTATGGTTGCTGAGATATTGCTTTTGCAGTGGAGGAAGGTAAAACCTAGGGAGGGGTGTCAGAAGTCCGAGTCTGGGGCAGGTTGATTAGATGCCAACGAGATTAATCTGGGGCGAGATAAAGAGAAGCGCCCATTAGATAAGATTAGCAAGTTGGTAGTTGGTAGTTGATCGTGAAACTGCGCGCGACCTAAGTACGACCTCAGTCCGACCTCAGTTAGCCGAGGTTTCACTATCAACTATCAACTTTCACTTGCAGCTTGCAACTCGCCAGGGGGATCTGGCCGCATTTTCAAGGATTTCGAAAGGCGCCTGCCTTATATGGTCATTAGGCGCCCACGAAAGTTGCGAGTTGCGAGTTGCATATAGAAGTAAATATTTTTTATACAAATCGATCGTCATACTCCCCCTCTGTACGGGTTTCTTACCCTTACAGCAGTTGCCATCTTTCTACGTCTTACTTCTTGGTCG